TACAATGAAAATACCACATGTTTTTATTACATAGTAATCTCCTTGCAATGTGCATTTGCATGTATCTGGGTCAATCCAGTGCTGGAGCTGTCAGGACTGCGTTCACACAGAGGTGTCACTGAAATTAATGCAAGGGTTTGTGTTTTTCATGCAGTAAATAATCCAAGAAAAGAGGTGAGGGGTGGGGAAAGTCTTTTCTTCTTGTTTGTTGTGTGGAAAACAACAAAAAGTATATATTCAGTCTGCTCTCTCTCATTCCTTCTCTATATCATTTTCACTTCAGGTGAGTTTACAGGTATTTATTTCCAACAGCTTTATTTTTCTTTCTGTTATCGAGATAGATCGATTAAGACTTTGATAAAGATATAAAATAAAAAAACTAAATGTTCATTGTCCATTGTCACTTAGAGGATAAGCATTTATTGTAATTAATCAGTCTGCACGTGTATGTTCTGAATTATTATTTTTTTGCATAGATGACAAAAGTCCTCTCTTATAAACACTGAATCCTAAATCTATGTGTAAGCAGTGCTGTACATTTCCAGCAGTTCAGAGATAGGACACTTCTATAAATGGAAAGATTTAAAGGGCTGTGAAACTGTAAAGTTGAATGGCTAATAAATTGTTTAAAGCAGCACTGCAGTATGATGGATGAGTGCAAAAGACAGGAGGAGCTGCTGAGTGTCAAGTATATGGGAGGAGAAGACAAAGAAGGAAGGATTCCATGTGGATGTGTTGCCCTCGTGTGGTGAAAGCTAGAATAATTTTACTGTAACTTTCCTAAAAAGCAAGTATAGTGAAGTGAATTTTCAAAGTGAAATTTACCAAAAATGATCAGTAAAATGATTTTGGCAACATGATTTCTGTTATACACCAGATAGAAACAAAAACAAAATAAATGCATGCAAATTATTACTCGTGTTCTTTTATATTGACATTTATACGTCTACATTTCTTTTATATAACTGCTTTGCTGTCTTTTTTTTTATGCTGCTTTTATAACTCAGTGTCTCTCTGGGATTGATAAAGTTCCTGTGCTCTGTCGACACAGGAACCACTCCACTCAGGAACCAATCCCAACCACTCCACCACCATGGTTGATATTTCGTTTCGTTCATTTCGTTGTAAGTGAGAAAACTTACAAATTCATCAGAGGCCCAAATAATTATTTCACCCAGTTTACTGGAGGCTGAGTCTTCACTAGTTTGTTTGGCTGACGTTGGCTGGCGAGACTGCCACAGGTTAAAGCCTATTATCAAATATCCAGTGAATGTCGATAATCTCCTTAGTTTTTTTATATAATACTTTCTTTTAAGGGGGCTGCTGGTCCCAGACCGACACATCTTCACAGAATCACGTACATCACATACAATCACATACAAGGTCTTGAATAATCAGGCCCCATCTTATCTTAATGACCTCATAGTGCCACATCACCGCATTAGAGCATTTTGCTTTCAAACTGTGGGCCTACTTGTTGTTCCTGGAGTATTCAAAAGTAGAATGGGAGGCAGAGCCTTCAGTTTTCAGGCTCCTCTTCTGTGGAACCAGATTCCACTTAGATTCGGGAGACAGACACTATCTCTACTTTTAGTATTAGGCTTAAAACTTTCCTTTTTGCTAAAGCATGTAGTTAGGGCTGGATCAGGTGACCCCGAATTCTCTCTTAGTTATACTGCAGTAGGTGTAGGCTGCTGGGGGAAGTAGTTCTCCTTCAGTCACTATTTCTAGTCACTATGTGTTTATAGACCTCTCTGTATTTAATCATTATTTATTACTATCTCTGGCTCTCTTCCACAGCATCTCTTTCATCCTGCCTTCCTCTCCTCACCCAAGCCAGTCATGGCAGATGACTGCGCTTCCCTGAGCCTGGCTCTGATGGAGGTTTGTTCCTGGTAAAAGGGAGTTTTTCGTTCCTACTGTCGCCAAAGTGCTTGCTCATAGGGGGGCGGTCGCCCCATGATCAGAAGGTCGGTGGTTCAAATCCACTGAACGGCAAGGTACCGTCCCTGCGCACCGCTCCTCGGGCGCCTGCTTAGTGGCTGTCCACTGCTTCACTGAGTGAATGGGTCAAATGCAAAGGAAAAAAAAGTGATTTCCCCACAGGGATCAATAAAGTACACATTATTATTATATGACTGTTGGTGTGATTTGATACTGTATAGATAAAATTGAATTGAAATTCAGGTTTATTTAAAATGTTTAATAAAAAGAAACCCTCAGTTTATTTTGTAACTGAAAGACAATGAACTTCAATAAAAGGACCATCACATCTTTCACTAAATGTTTACTGTATAGGATGAGCACAGAGTTCATCTTGAAGGGTGACAGATAGTTCTGAGAAACTAAATTACTTCCTTATTTTACTTTTTTCCTAATTTACACTTTTAGTTCAACTAAAACTACAAACTAAAAATATTATACACAAATTTCCAAGTACTTAATTGTTTGGACGGCACTTTTCCACTTTTACTGACGACTCAAAGCACTGCACACATTTACATTCAAATCAAAACGATCTGTTTTTATTTTGGTCTGTAGAGCTATTTTCCACTCAAGTTTATTTTGGAATTACTTACCCAAATAAAAGTTCAACTTTTAGAGTTTAATCTTAAAAATTAAACTCCTTAGACATTCTTTTGCAAGCATGTCCTAGGTCATGATAGGCAGTATTAACGTAGCTCTTTAAAAGTAGTGAGAATAAGTGGACCAGAAAAAACCGGCAGAAGCAGGATAAACTCAACACTTGAGCCCTGCGTGAGTTCATGTAAGTGCGTTGTGGTATGAGGAAACACTGAATCATCATGCTGCTGGTGGTTACTCACATCTATGCCCATGATGAAAGTGTGAAAAGTCTGATAACACTCACAGAGTTGAGATGAGGTGAGAATCCCTTAGAATTATTACATTTGGCTTGTTTTAAACATGTTGAAAGCTTTTAAACATGGACAGAGATTTTGCTAAAATACATCTGCACTATAAAAGTCCACTGTTTTTGAGATTTACCTTAATTTATTCTTGACATGAATGCATGCATGACACACACACATTTAAAAGACACAAAGTATCCTACCATCAGACTGAATTTTAAACCTGTGACACTAAGAGAAATAATACATAAGAAAAAGTGAGAAAATTTCACCCGCTGTCTGATTTTTGTTTACATAAACACATTTTCACTGTAAACTGATGTAGAATAATATCAAACTAGAGCATTAAACTCACCAGGCAGGAAATGAATGTCTGATGCTAAAGTTTTTCTGGCAGAGGCTATCGAGGCTTGTTTCTACTACGGAAATAAAGAAAAACAAATAAATTACAAGGCATTTGCTGTTGAAATTCTCAAGTTATTATCAAAATTTGGATTGATTCACTCAAACAGGTTTTTTCCCCTCTTTTTCATTTTATTCAGTGGTGCAAACAAACCTGAATAAGGGAACCGCTAAATACACTAAATACATATAATGAATGAACTAATTTCATCTTGAAGAATGGCATGCTGGGAAACTGAACCACTTCCTCACTTTTCTCTTAAAATAAACTATCAAGCATATTTACAATTTCAATTTCTATAAAACATTATATCCATTCTCAGTTATTTTAAGACCACCTTGCATTGCTACAATCAGAGCCCCCTTCTTTAATTAATATACACTCCAAATATTATTGACATGTTTCCAAATAATGAATTGTTTGGTCTTTCATGGACTTTTGGGACTGGAACTTTTCTAGTCTTCCTGAACACTTAAAGTCTTTTACCCATCATTTTGACAATTTGTATCAAAATGATAGAATGCCAGTTTCCATTCCAGGTTATTTTGGTGTTATTTACCCATTTTTTGATATTTAGGTTGAGCTAATGTAAATAAATCATGTTTCAAAATCCAAAAAATGTCAAAAATCTATAGAATCACTCTCACAAATCACATTTTTAAAGCTTTATTTGACCAGGAAATGTAACTGTTTTAAGCCAAGACAAGCAGGATCAAACTAGTTTCTTCAGTGGTGGCACTAACTAGACCAGACAAAGCCGGCACAAGCAGGATAAACTCGGTGCTTGAGACTTGTGTGACATCCGAGTTTGACGAAAGATGTAATCACCACAGTGGTTACGGTTGACACATCGATACGGACCATGAGAGCTCAGGAGATGTGACAACACTGATATAGTAACAGGATGTTAACGTGGCCTCAGTTGAGCTACTTTGGTTGTCAGATGAAGTGCGGTGTAGAAAAATTGTTAATTGAACAGCTGAGAGCAAGATTTGTGTTATCTTTGAGCAACAGGGTCATGATTTTTAAAAAGTAAAACGAGTATTTTTATTTGTTTGTTTATTTTGTTTAGTGGTTGCATTTGAGGTTATCTGATTGATTGTGGTTTGCACGTGTGGTTTCTCCATTTCAACAGCTTAGAGCAGATAATTACGAGAAACATGGCTTCACTAAAGGTAGACATGCATAACCTGGAATTCCTGGAAGTAAAAGAAAAGGAAAAAAACGCGTCATTCACTCAGTCCGTGAGCGGGTTGGGCTTCTCCAAAGTTTCTCACTTCCCCGTTCCATGGAAAGCTGCATTCCTGTCAGTGACAGAGACTTGTATGAACAAGAATGTTTTGCTTATGCGTGTCTATTCTCTAAAATGCAAGCTTTTAAATTTTATCTATACGCCTCGGGTGCTTTTAATAACAATTGACTCAGGGTGAAAAGCGTCTCAGGAAACAGAGAAATGCATTATGGTACCTCACACTGGAACATGTTATCTTAAAGAACGCATGCTTTTTTTATAAATAATAACATTGTGAAGACTCTGTTTTAGCACAGGTTATTAAAAAAAAATCCCAGGACAATCATACATCGAGATAATACAAAGGTTTCGACAGAAAAGGGGAGCGAGAGAGTTTTAATGAAAGACACGCCTCTCTGAAGCGCTCCCTTAAACCACAGCATGTTACAACCCGCGAGGCGAGATGTTATAGTTTGAGCTCACAGGAGCACTGTCAGGGCTGGTGAGCAGCGGATATTTGAACGCGATACATATCACAAAGAGAAAATACATCGTGAAAAGGTGAGTGGATTATAAACAAAAACATGATAATTTTCCATCTCGTTTATTTCGTTCTCAAATAAATGCCTGAAAATAAATTACTTCTTCTCATCATGTCATGATATGATGACCAACTTCTGAACCCATAAACTTCCATCACTCACGTTTATGTATTTATTTATTTGTGGTCAGGTGTGCACAGATACACAAAGGCTTTTACTACAGTGTGCAAGACTGACTCGGAAGCCAACTGCTTGTACTGCACTTCCAGTGAGAGACTGTAGTGACACAAGTAAGGAAAAAAACTTCAATGTGAACCAAAGACTGTTGAAATAATGCTCTTCGATGCACTATTTGCTGTTAGAATCAATGTTTGGTGCGTTTTAATATGCTGTTTATGAGATTATGCTGAATCATTGGCTAGAGCCTTGGATGTAAATAATTTAAAGGCTGCAGTACAGTAGTAAGGAGTGAGCCAACAATTGTTTTTATTTTCAGTTATTTCTGTACAAAAAGATGTAGAAAAAGATGTAGAAAAAGATGACTGAAGAAGAAATACTTCCCATGAATCATGGCAATCCTTCAACGTCCTACGCCTATTTCAACTTAACTAAGGGAGGATTCAGGGTCACCTGATCCAGCTCTAAGAATCTGGTTAGATCTAAGATTTTTAGGGCCAAGTACATTACCTCAGTTTTATCTGAATTTAGAAGCAAAAAATTAGAGGTCATCTAGGTCTTTATATCTTTAAGACATTCCCGCAGTTTAACTAATTGGTGTGTATCATCTGGCTTCATGGAAAGAGAAAGTTAGGTGTCATCTGCATTGCAGTGAAACTGTATGCGATTCTTTCTGATGATACCGGATAAAGGACGTGTGTATAATGTAAACAGAATTGGTCCTAGCACTGAACCCTGCGGAACTCCATAATTAACCGTAGTGTGTGAAGAGAACTCTCTATTTACATGAACAATTTGGTCTATTAGATAAATATGATTCAAACCACTGCAGCACAGTACTTTAATATATATATACAGCATGCTCTTATCACTGTAATAAAGTATTATGGTCTACAGTATCGAACGCTGCACTGAGGTCTAGCAGAACAAGCACAGAGATGAGTGAAACTCTTCAAAGAAACCATATCTCTGCAGATGATCTGTTAGCTGTTCAACAGCTACTCTTTCAAAACGTTTTTAGATCAAAGGAAGGCCTAAGACAGCTAGAGATGGGTTTTTAAGTAATGGTTTAATTAGTGACAGCTTGAAGGCCTGTGGTACCAATTATTAGAGATAGGTTGATCATATTTAAGATTGCAGCATTAATTAATGAGGCAGCACAGTGGAAGGGTGGTTAGCACTGTTGCTGCATAGCAGGAAGGTCCTGAGTTCAATTCCACCATCA